TCTTTGGCACCATTTAAATCATCTAAAGATTAAAACATACCCTTCAGACTTCAAGGACTAAATACTACCATCCAGTTATTTGGGAAAAACAAATGCCAAAACAAAAGAGAATGAAATTCAATACCCATCAAGCACATGCATTTGGCCCTGTTAACATCAAACAGTATCACCAGAGTTCAAGCTTAAAGCCGAAATTCACAAACAATTGAGCCAGTTTTAAAAGCCAAAAATAACTAAAACAGACATCTTTTTGCAGAACTAGATTCTTCTAAAGTGCACATTTAGCTAAAGCATATGTATATATAACAAATCCCAATAAGAACAACTACCATCCAGAACCAAATCCAAACTTCTGAATACAAATTTAAAGGCTACTGGTTATGATCAAGCAGAGTTTAGTCTGAAACCTCATTAATGCATAAAGTAAAAGAACAAAATCAATTAAAGAGTAGGTCTTACTTGAGCAAGATAGAATAAAATTGCATTGGAAAATTAGAATCAAAACAAATCCTTATAAGAGCAATTAACATCCAGAACCAAATCTGAACCTCTGAATACAAATTTAAAGGCTACTGGTTATGATCAAGCCGAGTTTAGTCTGAAACCCCATTAATGCATAAAGTAAAAGAACACAATCAATTGAAGAGTATCTTACTTGAGCAAGATACAATAAAATTTGCATTGGAAAATTAGAATCAAAACATTTCTAGCATTGAATAACTGCGAACAACATAATATAAGTAAATGCAGTTGAACATTAAAAGGGCTAAAAAATGAGACAAAACCACCATAAGAAGAACATTCTTCTTTCTGATACTTCAACGGTAAGACTTCTGGAACCTAGCTATGGCGGCACGACCACCGAACTTCTTGGGCTCGCACCGCCTGGGATCAGCGACGACCAGAGTCCTATCGTACCTCACCAAGAAGCCTTGGCGATGCTCTGCCTGATCGCGTAGATCTGTGAGGTGTGCCCTCCACCTTTGACGCGAATCCTCATGTCCACTCCGTTGAAGCGGTGACGTACGAGGAGTAGGATTGGCTCAATGGCCTTGAATCGTAGGATCTCGGGCTCGACAAGCTCGATGGGCAGCCATTGATCTTGATCAATCCTTTCCCGCGCTTGCAGTAGGTGACGGCCACTGCCGTTTTCTTGCGTCCAAAGCTCTGGACGGACTCCACAGCCGGTGTAGGTGCAGCCATGGTTGGGGTTAGGGCCGCCGGATGTGCCGCGGCTCTGGAGAGGGTGAGATGACAAAAGGGCTGGGTTTGTCATGGTTTCATCAAGGGTTTTACTTTTTATTTTTTAGGGGGAATTTAAGTACGTCCAAAATAACTACTAAAACAAAATTATAATCTCTCTATTTCTTATTGTTACATTTTACTCCCTCTAGGAACACATGGATTGTTCCTTAGAAAATAATAGAAGGTTAGACCACCTTTCTTTTTTCAAATCTTTCTCCTGAATCGGCCAACAATTATAACTAAAAGTCTGTTATTTTACAATTTAGATTGTAAAATATTTTTTGAACAATTAAATAATAACTCAAGTGATAAAGTTTAGTTTAAGATTTAAGTAATACATCATGCAAGGACAAGGTAAGTAAAAAAATGAAACACAATTATTTTTTATTATGTAACTCAAAATTTAAAAAAAAAAAAATTTAAGCAAGGGCATTAGCCTTCTAAAAAATATATTTTTTAATTTTTGTTAAAGTTTGCCTCCCTCTCCAAAAATGCTATTCAAAAGTATTTTCTCTTGAAGTTACAATTACACCAAACAAGTATTGTGCTTTTCCAATTTTCCTCCGTCAGTTTTTTTTTTTCTTTTGACCATCGTTTTCACTCTCTACTTTCTTTCTTTTTTTTTTTTTCTTTTTTTTTTTTCTGACACTGAAAAAATTGAGAGAAGAGGATAGTTACCTGAATTAGAACCCAAGACTTGAATAACCAGAAACTATCCCTCTCACAGGATGGCCAGTAGGCCACTTGGTGCCAGACTTTTCCCTCTCTACTTTCTAAAAGTTCCCACTTCTTCAGCTTCTAGCGCACTTGTTTCTCTAACTCTCGTTCATGCTTAAGAAATTTTTGCAGGCCCCGAAGTTCTGGACCTTTTTCCCAATTGGGCTTCTTTCTTGTTCGTCATCTCTAAAGTCTGGCTTGTTTTCACGCATTGTTTCTCCCTCTTGCGCACAGGCCTATTCTAGATGCAGGATGTCGCATTATGTGCAGGTGAGAAAATGTCATGCCAAGCTCTTCAGGAGCGCACAACAAGCCTGCTCTGGCCTACACTAAACATGGGTTGAAATTATGGAAGGCCACCAGTTATATATATATATATATATATATATTTAACACCATTATTTTTATGTATAATTTTATCAATTTATAATTTTTTAAAATAATTAATTATAGAAATTAAAAATATTTATTTATAAGTTAATTTTAATTTATTAAATAATAAATGTTAATTATTTTATTAGTTATTATTATTTTTAACAGTTAAATTAAAATAAAAATTTAATAATTTTGATAGTCTTGACAAAAGTAATAGTCACCCACACCCATATCCTTAAACATGATATGGGAATAGAAGTATATGATAAAAGAAAAATGTAAAACAAAGGATATTTGCATGTAAAATTTTCAAATGCCTTTAATAGAATTTCTTTGTATACTAATTTATTTAGGGTATATAAATTTTTCGGTATCATTCTTAACATTTTTGATTATTAAGACCTCATGATTTTCTTTAATCTTTTGATAAAATATACCATTACTAACATGTTACATGTTATATGTTATTCCATTATGATACCATTAGAAAAAGGAAGAATATGACAAGGTGTTTAATATTACGATTTGAAACTTATAGTTAGTGATTTTGTCTAATTTGATGATTAATAATTGTTATTATTAATAATTTAAACATATTTATTTATTAAATTAAATTGAAACAACAAACACTAATTTCATCATTAATACTAATTTCAAATTATTATACTAAACAAGTCTAACATCTAAGATAACTGTATAAATTTTTTTTATTTAGTACCGTACATTGGTCAATTTGAATTTTTTTATATAATTATATTTTATTATATAATTCAAAATTTTTTTAAAAAAATAAATAAATTAAAACAAACTAACAAGTCGAGTCCAGTTATTTAGAACCAGTAAATCATTATTGATACTGACGAAAAGTTTATTAAAATCTCCCACATATATCTTTTCAAAAACACAAAAACAAAATTACTCAGATTAATTAAAAGTTGAACACAAAAGTGCAAAAACAAAACCCAACTGAAAGTTAAAAGGCAAGATGATGACACATTGCCACCAATTTACTTGAGAAAAGAAGCCAAGCGAACTATGAATTTCTTGGCACTCTCAGACTCATAATTGACAATGTGAAACGCATGGCCTTCTCCCTCAACTTCAATCAACTCCGCTTCCCCTTTCCACCCGCTTTCCTTCACCGCATTGTAAAACGATATTCCCCTGCTCCACAGAATATCCTTCTCCGAAACACTCACCAGCAGCTTCGAACACCCTAGTCCGGCCAGCGACGGCGCCCCTGGTGCCACCGGGTTTATCATCGGACTGTCAATCCCACCCGGCACTGTTGGGTACAGATATGTCCACACCCTGTACTGCAGTAGCTTCTCGCGGTTTTCAGTGGGTTCAGAACCGACGGCCTCTGAACCCCAGAAGTACGGATGGGTATAGAAGGCTCTGCTGATCTTGACATTGTTGGGTAAGCTCTCTTTACCGGCGCGCATTACTACGTAGTGAGCGAGGGAAGCTCCGGCGCTCTCACCGCCGATGTAAAGCCGTTCAAAATCTGCGTAGGACAATCAGGGATCCTCGTTAGTCCCATTTGGGCCAGCATAGGCCACGGCCCATTGGAGCCCAGCCCAGCAATCCTCGAAAGCAATAGGGAGAGGGTGCTCTGGAGCTAGCCTGCATTCTATTGAGACTGCCACCGCTTTGGCGTGATGCACT